ACTCCCACCAACAGTGCAAGAGAGTTCCTTTTTCCCCACATCCTCTCCAGCATTTGTTTTTGGTAGTTTAATTGATCCTGGCCATTCTTTCAGGAGTCAGATGGAATCTCAGTGTGGTTTTAATTTGCATTTCTCTAGTGAGTAATGATGATGAACATTTTTTTCATGTATTTATTTGCAATTTGTATTTCTTCATCTGAAAATTATGTATACCCATTTTTAGATGCCCATTTTTAGATTGGAGTTTTGAATCTTGGGGGTCTGATTTTATAAAATTCTTTTTTTTTAATTTTAGTTAAGAGGAAAAAGAGAAAAACACAAAACAAAACAAGGCAGTGTAAGGGTACACATAATACAGAACTACAAAAAAAAAAACAGTAAGAAATCACCTGTTAATAGATTACGTATTATCATCTTAGAAATAGTTGCTCAAATCACAGTATCAAAGAATTCTTAATAGGTTTTAGATAGAAGTCCTTTGTCTGAGGGACAGTTTACTAGGATTTTTTCCTAGTTTGTGGGTTTTCTTTCCACTATGCTAGAGATTTCTTTTGATGTGCAGGAACTTTTTATAAGACTTAATCCCAGTTATTGATTCTGGGAAGTATTTCCCATGCGGTTTGATTCCTGTTCATGAATTCTCTACCTATCCCTGTGTCTTTAAGTTCTTTACCCAATTTGTCTTCCAATAGATTTAGTGTTCCTGTTTTAATATTCAGATCTTTGTTCCATTTAGATTTTAATTTACTACAGGGTAATAGGCATGGGTCAAGTTTTAGTTTTTGGCCTATGGAGAGCCAGTTTTTCCAAAACCATTTATTAAAGAGATTATCATTCTTTCAGTGAACAGGTTAGGCCCCTTTATCAAAGATAAGGTGGTTGAGTGTGTTTGTAGTTGTGGTTGTACCTTCTAATCTATTCCATAGATCATTGGCTCTGTTTTGATTCTGAACCATGTTGATTTTACTACAGTTGCTTTGTAGTATAACTTCAAGTCAGGGATTGAAATGCCTGCTACCTTGCCTTTGCTGCTTAGAACTGTCTTTGCTATTCTAGAACTCTTCCGGTTTCCAGGTGAATTTTAGGAGTGATTTCTCTATATCTATGAGGTTTGTTGATGGTGTTTTGATTGAGATTGCATTGAATCTGTATAAAAGTTTTGGGAGAATAGCTATTTTCACAATATTTATTCTTCCTATGCATGAGCAAGGGATGTCTTTCCATTTTCTGAGATCCTATTCAATTTCTTTTTTCAGTGTGTTATAATTTTCCCTATATAGATCTTTCACTTCTTTTGTGAGAATAATTCCTAAATATTTCATTTATTTGGTTGCTAGTGTGAACTTATTTCTCTCTATGTCATTTTGTGTTAATGTATGGGAATGCTATTGATTTTTGTGTATTGATTCTGCATCCAGTTACATTACTGAATTTATTTATTATATCCTGGAGTCTTTCAATGGAGTTTTGAGGGTCTTCTATGTTGACTATCATGTCATCCACAAATAATGATAATCTAACTTCCTCTTTTCCTATCTTTATCTCTTTTATTTCTCTCTCTTTTCTAATTGCTTTGGATAGTATTTCCATTACTATATTAAATAGGAGTGGTGATAAGGGAAATCCTTGTCTTGTGCCTGATTTTAAGGTAAGGACTTCAATTTTTGGCCATTTAGTGTGATACTGGCTGTTGGTTTGTTATAGATGGCCTTCATCATATTGAGGTAAAGACCATCTATTCTAAATTTCTGTAAAGTTCTTATCAAGAATGAATTTTGTACCTTATCAAAGGCTTTTTCTGCATATATAGAGATGATCATGTGATTCTTACTTTTGGCTTTATGATTTGGTGTATTGAATTTATTGATTTACATATGTTGAACCATCCCTGCATGCCTAGGATGAATCCCACTTGTTCATGATGTATAATCTTCTTGATGATTTGCTGCATCCTATTTGCCAATATTATTTTGAGGATTTTTGCATCTGTGTTCGTTAGGGAGATTGGCCTGTAATTCTCTCTCTCTCTCTCTCTCTCTCTCTCTCTCTCTCTCTCTCTCTTTCTTTTTTTTTTTTTTTTTTTGTAATTCTCTTTTACAGTTGGTTCTTTCTCAGGTTCTGGTACTAGAGTAATATTTGCTTACAGGAATGACTTAGGAAGGATTGCTTCCCTACTGATTTCACTGAAGAGTTCGAGGAATGTGGGCATTATGTCTTCTTTGTATTTTTTATAGAATTCTGCAGTGAATCTGTCTGGGTCTGGGCTCTTCTTTGTAGGAAACGACTTAATTACATTTTCAATTTCATTAATAGAAACTCGGTTATTCAACAGTTTTACATCTTCTTAACTTAGCTTTGGTACCTTATAGGTTTCTAGGAATGTATTTCTTCTGTGTTAACAAACCTACGATAGTAGACATTTTCGAAATAGGTGTTGATGATCTTCTAAATTTCCACAGAGTCTGTAGTGATTTCACCTTTTTCAGTCCTTATTGCATGAATTTGAGATTTTTATTCCATTTTTAAAATAACTTTGGCTAAGGGCTTATCAATTTTATTTATTCTTTCAGAGAAACACCTCTTTGATTGATTCTTTGGATTGTTTTCTTAGTCTCTATTGCATTAATTTCTGCTCTGATTTTTATAATTTCCTCCCTTCTTTTGGCTTTTGGCTTGACTTGCTCTTCATTTTCTAGATGCTCGAGCTGTAGCATCAGGTGACTTATTTGTATTCATTATGTTTTCCTGATGTGGGTACTCTGTGCAAAAAATTTTCTCTGAGAATGGCTTTCATTGCATCCCACAGATTCTGGTAAGTTGTATTTGTAGTTTCACTGGCTTGTAGGTATTGTTTAATTTCTTTAATTTCCCCTGTGACTCACTGATTGCTCAAGAGTGTGTTATTCAATTTCCATGTGTTTGTGGAATTTTTGCAGTCTTTTATCATTAGTTTCTAGTTTCATGGCCCTTTGGTCTGATAACATGCGTGGGATAATTTCAACTCTTTTGCATTTATTTACATATGTTCTCTGTACTAATATATGGTCTATTTTAGAGAATGTTCCATGTACTGCGGAGAAGAATGTGTATTCTGATGTTGTTTGATGGAACACTCTGTATATGTCTATCATGTCCATTTGTTCACAGGTGTGATTCAGTTCTGTAATTTCTTTACTGATTTTCTGTCTGGTTGATCTGTCCCTTGGTGTTAATTTTGTGTTAATGTCTCCTGTTATAATTGTGTTATTGCTACTTTAGTTTTTCATTTCTATTAATACTTGCTGTATGTAACTGGGTGCTCTGGAATTTGGTGCATATAAATTTAAGATTGTTATCTCTTCCTCTTGCAGTTTTCGCCTAACTAGTATGAAATAATCTTCTTTATCTCTTCTGATCTTTCTTGGTTTTAAGTTCACATTGACAGAATGGCTCCCCCTGCTTTTTTGGGTGTTCCTGTTGCATGAAGCATCTAGTTGTTTTTATGTATAGGTTTTTGGTATATGCTTTGTCATATAGCTGAACAAGCTGAATATATATATATATATATATATATATATATATATATATATGCTGAAATACAGTTGCATGAAGCATCTAGTTGTTTTTATGTATAGATTTTTGGTGTATGCTTTGTCATATAGCTGAACAAGCTGAAATATATACATATATATATATATATATATATATATGCTGAAATATATGTAATATATGCCAGCTGAAATATATATATAATACATGCTTTGTATAATTATATATATAATATATGCTTTATATAATTATATACAATATACTCTTTATATAATTATATATATATATATATATATATATATATATATATTTTTTCCTTTTTAGTGCTGGAAATGAACCCTGGTCCTAAGCCCTTTGCCACTGAGAAAATTCCTCTGCCTTGTCATTTGTATATATAATTCTGTAATTGTGTATTCAAATTAATTGTTATTTCATTTTGCTTGTTCATGTTCTTTCTTCATTTCACATGTCCTTCATTTATGTATGGGAGTCAGAGAGGGAGAGCGAGAGATAAGGAGAGGTAGATTTCCTCTTGAAAATTCCCTTCCAGCTTGTTGTTATCAAAACAACTATTAAGAACAGGATCTGAAAGAGTTGTCGAAACTGTGGCTTACAACAAATCAAAAATCTATTTGTATGTGGATCTTTATGAGTGGATAAACTGATAGAATTGGAGCTAAAATAATTAGCTGAAAATGCTAAAGTTATTTAAAAATATACAGTAGTTTATTTTTAATATTCTAAAACTCGATGTAACATCAATTTCTAAGCTAGAACTTTCCTTATGGGGTGAATAATTAAGAATTTCTAGTGATGATTTAAGTAAGTAACTGGTTGTTTGCATCATTTTTGTTTGGTGTGGCGAGTCAGAAATGTCTTCATGTGGGGACTCATATCTGAGAGCAAACGTTGGACCTGATACCAAGCTGTTTTCCTGAACCTGTAATCACTTTCTAAACATTCCTGAGCCTCAGAAGAACACAGGGTGGGGGTGAGGGTTGGGGATTTAGCTCAGCGGCATAAGTGCTTGCCTTGCAAGCAGGCAGTCCTAAGTTCGATCCCCAATACTGAGAAAAAAGAAAAAACAGACAAAAAAAAAAAAAAAAAAGAAGAAGAAGAACACAGGAAAGTGCATTATGGAGCCCTGCTGTGAATAATACTGAAGATTTTCATTAAAATTTCAACTCCTTGTTTTATGAGACTGGGGACACAACCCCTCAGTCAGTATCCAGGAAAGGACTATCATCCTTTTACCCTTTCACCCTAGGGTTAGGCAAGCCATGTGGGCAGATGAGGTCTTCATCCCAGAATCCTCTTGGAGATAGTCTATTTTGAAAAGCCACGCAGGAAAGAGCAATGGTTTGTCCCTAGCAGTACGGGGAGTCTTCAAGAGTCCAAAGGAATTGTTGGTTTCTGTTAAAGGGTGGCTCAACCCTGGGGTAACTGACCCTTATCTCGCTCTAGCAGGTGTCACAATTCAAACGAGGGGCAGAGGACAACATCTTTGCCCCACTGGCTGTGGAAGCCAAGCCACACCCTGTGCACCGCACCCCAAGCTTACTGGACCCGCAGGACCCAGTGTACATCCCAAGCCCAAGTCCGGCCAAGGCAGACCCAGGTTCACCTTCAGGTGAGTGCTGGCCCAGGAGAGGGAGGGAACAGAGGGGCAGGATGGGAAAGGGGATGGCTTTCCTGAAAGGGAAGAGTGTGAGGTCTGTCCTGTGTTTTTGCATGGACTAAGCAGCAGGGCAGAGGGTATCCACAGGGCCTACAGAGATGAGGAGGCCAGGGGATACTGGAAAGGTTTTCAGGCTGTGGTACAACAGGAGAGTTTGTGGGCAACCCGGAAAACATAGCGTGAGCGACTATTAATATAATGCAAGTACAGCACAGATGCTTCCTGTCAACCAGTGGAAACTGCTCTTTAGGTGTTCTTTAGATGTTTTTATGACTCCTCTCGACTATTTTTAAAAACTTTTTAAAAAATCAGTTCGTGTTGAGCTCTGCCTCTGAGTCCTGGTGTCCAGAGATCAGAGCCCTTGGGGATCTGAACCACTGTTGAGTCCAGTGAGTAAATTTGGGCCGTGTGTGGCAGGAAATGTTCCTGGGGTTTGTGTACATTTTGTTAGAAAACAGCATGTTGCTGAATAGAGATTACTGTGTCTGTTGCCTCTCACAGACTCCTTTGAAAGTGAGTACAAAATAGAAATTGGCAGTTCTGTGTGTGTGTGTGTGTGTGTGTGTGTGTGTCTGTGTGTGTGTGTGTGTGTGTGTGTGTGTCTGTGTGTGTGTGTTTCTTGAAATGATAAGGCAGTACAACTGATTCTGGATTGGGTCACTTGATAAGGGAAAGCCTCTTGCATTCCTGAAAATGTGTGCAGATAAACATAGTTGATGTAGGCTCAGGAAAATCTATACAGAAGGAAAGCTACCACATTTGATGGATAAAATTTGCCAACAATAGTATTTTGAAGGAATGGAGCAATCAGTAGTCTTTTCCTTTCCTTTCCCTTCCTTTCCTTTCCTTTCCTTTCTTTCTATCTATCTTTCTTTTTCTGTACTGGCAATTGAACTCATGACCTTATACTTACCAGTCAGGCACTTGTGCTTGTGAGCTAAATCTCTGGGCTAGTTATGTTTTCTTATCCCAGAATATGAACATTGTCCACATATTTGGTTATTTTACTCAGTTACTGATGTCCTCCTTGTATTTTCTGGTGGATAGTTGAATTTTAATAATCAATTATAAAAATTATCAAATTATTATAATTTTAATTAAAATAGTATTTTAAGCAATCAATACAAAATGGTATTTTACGCAATTAATACAGCATAGTATTTTAAGCAATGGATACAAAGAAGACAAACTCATTAGACTGTAATTCTCTCAGTGCTTGTAATATTACATATTTTGGTTCTTTGCATAATAGTACCAATAGAAAACTTCTTCCTTTTTTCATAAAAGCATACAGATTCGGGGGCTGGGGGTTTAGCTCAGTGGCATAAGCGCCTGCCTTGCAAGCAGGCAGTCGTGAGTCCGATCCCTGATACCGATAAAAATTAAAAAGACAAAAAAAAAAAAACCCAAAAAACAAAAACAAAAAAAAACATACAGATTCATAGTAAAAGAAAATGTTAGGCATTGTTGTCCTAGGTCTTAGATGTTATTCAATATTCCCCTCCTTTTGCATCACAGAATATTAAAATATCACACATATATGCAAAATGTATTTCTGAATTTAGCATCATTAAGTAATTGCACATTATGTAATATTTTAAGTGATCCTAGCATAATAAGAGGAAGAGAAACTGTAATCTAGCATGGAAAGATGCCAAGAAGGAGCGTATTAGAATGGGCATCAGTGGATCAAAGAGTCATCTCTGCCTAAAAAAATTTGCATCCTAAATAAAAGGGAAATACCAGTCATACAACTTGGAGACAATAATGAAAAAATGTTGACTATTCAGTGAAGCTTTTCCTGATTTATCTTTGAGGAAACTACTTTGTACATCTATCACACAGGGATGCAGAGGAGACTGAAGAATGGAATGGGAGAGAAGCCTCAGTTCTGCCCCATAACACACAGCAGTGCCTGGGCTCCTGTGCATTTTGAGAGAGCTCATGTTGTTGTCATCATTATTAACCTAAGTGTTCTGAGACACATTAAGACCATAAGACTCGGGTCTAAAGCATCCTGAACAGTTGGCTGAACCTGTTGTAGAGACTCTTGTTGTTTTGGGTCCTACCTAAAACTAGTGCTTTCCTAGTAACTCCATAAATGGGCTGGAGTAAAACAGGTAAATGAGGAATGTGTTGCCTCTAAAAGCCAAATAGGGTTACTAGGCTTTGTGCTACGTTTTGATTGGGAGGCAGATGCCAGAATTTATACTTCACCTTAGAAGAAATGTCTATTCATACACTATGGGACTCCTTCAAATTTCACTGAGGTACAGAGACCTTGAATTTTAGTTGGATTTATTTTCCATCTTTTGACACACAAAGGCTTTCCTATCATGTCTAGCGTGGTTGTTGCCTCATACTCACTTGGTCCATTTAGTATATATCATCAATATAATGGATCACAGTGAGTCCTTGTGGGTGAGGAAGATATCTTGAACAAAGTCACAACACTGAGCTGGAGAGTTAGTATAACCCTAAGGTAGGACAATGAATGTGCATTGTTGGCCTTGACAACTGAAAGCAAATTGTCTCAGGTCAGCCTTATGGATACAGACAGGGAAAAGACATTTCAAAATCAATAGCTGAATACCAGGTACTAGGAGATGTGTTAAGCAAGGAAACCACACCTGATACAACAACTGCAAATGGAATCCAAGTGCTTGATAGTAGCACAAGTTTCTGAAGTCCCTCCAAAGATGTGATATGTTTTTGTTTTACTATTTTCCTAGGCAAAAGCAAGTATAGTGGTTTCCAATCATATTTGCCAAACATAATACCCTCACATTAACATTTAGGGAACCAAGGTGAGGATTCCACTAACTACTAATATTATTTAAGCCAATTATGCATTCTGGAATCAGGGAAATAACTAGAGTATGGTCTTGGAGACCTGCTGCATCTGCTGTGAATTGACCTTTGTTGAAATTCCATTAACTACCTAACGTTTATAGGCCCCTACTCTTAATGGAATCCTACAATGATGATTGGATCTTTTGGAAAGTGTTAGCTCAAAACCAGTGTGTGGTAATCATTGAAATTTCTGATCATTTCTCTTCTCCAGATGTACAGCTATCATGTTAACAGGGCTTAGGTACTTTTGGGGAAGTTGAAATTGTTTTTTAAAAAGCAGAATATTTTGTATTTTGCTCCTCCTTAAAAAAATTTTGGTGCACTTCCAGGCATACACATACATCCCCACCAAAATTGAGACCATTTACATACCCTCAGTCCATTGAATGAATGTGTGACTGGGTTCTCTTGAGGAAAGATACTGGTATACTAACAAAACTTAGCCTTCCTTCCTCTCATACTTCTCAACTTCCCAAACATACATAAGCCCTGGTATCATGATAACTTATTTACCTAATCCTCTCACATTTTTAGAAGCATCTCAGTCACTTTCCTCATAAATATAACTGACTTTTCTTCAGTTTCCCTACATATGAAACTTAATAATTGCCTGTTTTTGCCTTTGATTTCACATATTTTCATAGGTTGTAGCTGCTATAGAAGTAATCTTTCTTCTGGGGTTTTACCAGAATCCTAATGACTTTTGAGGTGTAGATAATATGCTAAGCATGAGTGAGCCTGGGATTCAATGTACACCAACTCCAAATAAAATTCTTAGGAAACTTTTGTGCCCTTGCTGTGGGAATGAGATGCCTTCTCCTACTGGAGTTCTATGCCTCACCACACTCATAGCCACCTTTCTGTGGTGGAAGAAAGTAGTACTATGGGCAGCACATTTCACCATCCTCAGCTGTGTCTGAGAAACCAGATGCCCTTTCTGATATCCTCTTTCTAGAAGGCTTCATGCATGCCAGTGCACCACCACAGAACACAGAGATAAATCAACTCCCAGGAGTGCTTCCCTACAGGGGAAGAGTTCAGACACTATCTTTTTCTTAGATCTTGCATTGTCCCAGGAGCCTCTTATGTGATCTCCATTGCCTTTTGATACCCAAAACCAATGACAGAATTATCCTTCTGAACATGATTGCATATGTCATGCCTTTACTCAGATCTTTCTGGTGCCTCCTTCTCTCATTCAGTGTCAAATCCAAGTTCTTTATAGTGGGCAGTAATAGGCTTTGCCTGAGAGGTACTTCCTCTGACACATCACCTGTCATTTTGCCCTCCTGTACTGCTCGGGCTCCCTGCCCTCTTTCCTGTGACTTAGATTCAATCTATGGTCACCCTCAGGTGTCATCTTTGCAATATCACTGGGAAGCTTTCCTAGCATACCTGTCCTCTTATTTATTTATCCATTTCTATGTTGACTGATGTTTCCCCAGGTAACCACATGACTGTGATGATTTCACTTGTAAATTTGTGTGTATGCAAATGTCTGCCACCTTTAAATCTTGTTTATTGTCAACTTTGTTCTTTGCTGTACAAAGTACCCAATACTTAAAACTTTGAGGAGTTAAAAATTTATTTCAGCTTACACTTTCACATGAGTTAGTCCAAAGTCTACTGGATTTAAGGCTAAAATCTCATGGAAGTAGAAATCTTATTTAATGGCATATGGCAGAGTACAGGAGGAAAAGTGCCAGTAAGGGATATATCATCCAAAGTCATGCCCTACTTCCTCTACCTAAACTCCATTTCATAATAGTGCATTTGACAGTGAACTTTAGCATATTATTCCACTGATGCAAGATTTCAGTATATCTCTTACTTAGGTTGACAACTAAAATTACATGACACATGTATATACCTTGCTATATTGACACTTCATTACATCACGTTAAGCCATGTTCAATCTTGAAATAAACACGGTAATAAAGTGGTGCAAAGTAACAAGTTGGACACATAACAGATCAAAGATGGGCTTGTGCCCTTTAGGACTTGAAAAAGAAAGCTTTAGTAAGTATAATCTTACATACACTATAAAATATATTTTAATATGCAATTCCCTGACACTTATTTTCCTGACTTTTATGAAT